TCTTGCCGGAACTCCCGGTTTTTCATATTTCTGTAAGAACACTTTATATGTGAAGGTTTTACCTCTTTATCAGATAATTGCGTATCAGACTTCCTTCTTAGTTTGCCGTTTCTTACTTTTATTTGTTTTGTGCAGTAGCTTTAAGAATGTCTTGTACAGTCAGTCTGTGATCAGTCTACTTTGATTTCCTCTTTGCTAGTCCTAAAGCTTTGGAAATCCTTCTCTACCCTGCAGTTAGTGGAGTGATCCCTCTATCAGGGAAATGAGAAGACTTGACTAGTTCAAATAATTCAGAAATGATGATGATCACTGACTCTTAAATAAGCTGCTTTAACTCTGTGCCAGATAATTTAATCATCACAGCAACCCTATTAGAAGACATATCGGTAATCTGAGGCAGGGAGAGGCTCAGTAACCTGCCTAAGATTTCATAATAAGTAAGGAAATTCAAGCCAGATAATTTTGCCTCAGGGTCTCTAACTGGTGCAAATGGTTAGTGCTTTCCCGTCTTCCATCGCTGCCTCCACACAGACCTGTTTGTCTCTGACCTGCCATTTTGTCTCTGGATTCTATCACCAACTCCACTGTGAAAGGGAGTCTTCTAGACCCCTGCTGAATTTCTTTTCATTGCTATGGCTTTAAACATTGTTCCTCCAAAGCCTGCCTCAAAGAAAAAGAATATCTGGTTGTTTTTCATTCCTCATTTTATTTTCTCATTCATACCTTTTCCTATCTCCTGTTATAGTTGCTTATGGACCCTTTTTTGGTCAATCCACTCACACCTCTGAAAGCAACACTGTTTTTTCCTCCCTGACTAATATTCATATAGAAGGTGATGCATCCAACCAGCAAATCACATCACTCAACGATCATAAATACAGTTACCCTCTTGCCTGCTCACAGTGACACTTCTAAGCAGATTGATTTGAGAAAGGCAACCGAGTGTCACAATGACTACTGACCAGGTCACCCTTTCTCTCACTTTAGGTAGAGGCTGATCCTTTATTTGTGCATGATCCTTGTAGGACAGAAAGGCTAAAATTTTTGCTGTGTTTAAAGCCTTTCTTGGCCATTGAGTGGAGAGGATGAACCTTGTTGTTGTTGTTATGTGCCATTGAGTCTAGGGAGGTGATTTATTCACAGAAAACTTTTTTTCTTCCCCCTATGGTTAGAAATAGGAGCTCTGGTAGCATAGTGCCTAAGGCTCTTGACTGCTAACCAGGAGGCTGGTGTTCAAACCCACCAGCCACTCCTCGGAAGGAAGGTTGGGCAGTCCTACTTCCGTAGTGATAACTGCCTCGGAAACCCAAGGAGGGAGGGGTCGCTAGGAGTCAGGGCTGACTCGATGGCAAGTAATAACAACAACATGGTTAGAAATACACAAGGGAACAATACATGAATAAATACAGTGTTTATCTAATGAATAACATTGGATCATGCCTCTAAATCTTTAATGATGTCTGTTTAGAGTCAAACTTAAGCAGTTACCATAAAGTCCTGTTGGATAGGGCTTTGTGTGTTAACTTGTCATGTGTTTTCAGAATTAGAAGAAAAGTTAAGGCATACTTGTTAGGGAAAAAAATTAAAGGATCATAAAGAAGGAAAAAAAATCCCATAATCCCATCACATATACTGTTAGATTTTCATGTTGTTCCTAGTGTTTGTTTTGGTAAACACCCCTGGTGGCACATTGGTTAAGTGCTCGATTGTTAACCAGAAGATTGGTGGTTTGAATGTACCAGCTTCTCCATGGGAAAAGGACATGCCCATCATTTTCCATACAGATTACAGCCTTGGAAACCCTATTAGGCAGTTGTTCTCAGTCATATAGGGTCACTATGAGTCGAAATTGATGGCAAGAACATGCACACAAATATATACCTTGTAGGCACCAAAACCTTTTCTGTTTCTTCTTCCAAGTCATTCTGTTGAGTGTATGTTAGAACCTTATGGATTCCTATTTTCATTTCTGGGCCAACCTTCTGAAAAAGAGTTAATAAAAAATGAGTTCGTCTCTGCTTTTCACAAAATGTGAAACCTGAGGTTCATTAAGTCCCTTAGTGGGGCAGGCAGTTAAGCTCCTGACTACTAGCCGAAAGTTTGGGGATTTGTACCCACCCAGAAGCAACCTCAGAAGAGTGGTGATGACCCTGTGAACAGTTCTGTCTGTGCACATGAATTGGAATCTACTCAGTGGCAGCTAGCAACAGTAGCAGCACAGCAAGGTTCACTAGGAAGAGGAGTCCCTGGAACAGGAATTTTCTTCTGGGAGGTCAGTGACATTTACCTGCTGAAAAGACCTCGCACACACAGAAGATGAGTTTTTCAAGCTGTAGGGTCTCAATGTGAGGTTTCACCACCTCCTACCTATATATAAGTTCTCTGCTTTTTAAGAACCTCATGATGGAAGAAATGTGGTTAAAGCATTCAGCTGCTAACCAAAATAGTTGCTGGTTCAAACCCACAATCTGCTCCATGGGAGAAAGATGTGACAGTCTGCTTCCATGAAGATTTATAGCCTTGGAAACCCTCTTGGGCAGTGCTATTCTTTCCTGTAGGGGTCCCTATGAGTCGAAATTGACTTGATGGCAGTGAGTTTGATTTTGGCTGGTGATTGAAGGAAGAGAAAGAACAAGTATTATAAGACTTTAAAGGCATGAGGGTTAGTTTTTTTTTGGAGGCGGGGTGGTGTTTGGTGGATTATGTTAGGCCATTGACCTTATTTTCCCCCTGAGATGATGGTGGTCCTGAGTCCCCAGACCCAGTGGCTCATTCACTCATGGTGTTTAGTTATGGCTAAGAAGAAGTTTTCATAACTTTGTCCCCTATATGCGCTACTATATTCATGGATATATTTGTCAATACATATGTAGAAATATCCTCTTTCAAATTGGGTGTAGTCCCATTTACCTTCCCAGCCCTGTTCAGCCTGAGTGTCTCTGTGTCCACAATCGCTTATTGTTACTACTGTGGCAAGTTTTTTTTTTCCCATTGTAAACTTACAGATAGCACAACATTTGCCAAATCAACATTTGACGTGTACAATTCAGTGATGCCAGTTGTTACATCAGTCATATTGTACAACTATGACCAATATCCATTTCCAAATTTTTCATTACCATGAACAGAAATTCAGTGCTTCCTAAACAATAAGCTATTTTACATTTTTGACTCAAAAATCTTGAGTTGTAACTTCATTTTTCTCTAGTAGTATCTCATGTGAGTAGCACAAACCAGTTTTGACAGATGAAAGTTGGAGGATTTATTGCTGCTGAAGTCAAAAGCAAGTTGAGCCCCTTGAACCTGTAAATAATAGTCCATCCCAATATTTAAAATAAGAAAAAAATTCTCTAAAACTATATAATTTTAAGATATGTATGTATGTGATAATATATAATGTGTGTAGTTTACATGTACACATTATATATATATCTCATGCTGATTTTTTTCAGAACTGCATTTTTTAAAAAATCAAGCATATCCTTGTTTTATTTACCCAAAATGTATTTACTTAAACTAGTTTAAAGCATTCTGTGAAGATTTGGCTGTTCTCCTCAGATCATCCATAAACAAATAAAAACATAAATGTAAAAATGACTCCTGCATTAGGTTTTTACCTCATTTTTCTTCAGTAGATTTCATGTGAGTTGCACAAACCAAACTTACAGGTGAGGGATGGAGGATTTATTGCTGCTGAAGTTAACAGCAAGTTGACCGTAAATTGCTAGCAGATGTTTTTCCTTTTTAGCCCCCTAGGAATTTTATAGGCAATTTTTTTCTCCTTCTCTTTTTGCAGGGATTGAGGGAGGAGGAGGTATAGAAAAGGAGAGAAATGAAAACAAACTGAAATTGAGAAATGTTATGTCTCAATTTTCACCAGTGCTGGAAAGTTCTGATTTTAGATGGAGTTGGTCTTCAGAAGTTTTTTATTAAAAAAAAAAAAGACAAAAAACCACAGAAGTTTTTATTTATGTATAGTCAGTTTAAACTACTAAAAGTTTTATTTTTCCTTATTAGCAAGAAGATCCTTATAGGAAGAAGAAGGTTCAGGAGAAAAAAGAAGGAAATTTACAAAATTTAAATTGGAATAAAAATCGAACATGTAGAAAAAACAAGAGAAGGGGTCTTACTCAGGTCTCAAGGTGTGTAATATTTATAATCCCTTTACAGATTTGATCCATTTTTCACTTTCTAATTTTACATTTACCTCTTTGAATCTTATTTCTGTTATGCTGTTGTACAGATAATATGAGAGTGTTGATGTTTATATTTTAAGATGAAAGTTGTGTTCTTAAAATAACCATCTTTTCTTATTATGTTTTTAAAGTTTATTTTGTTAAATACTGTAGTGTGAAGAATTTTTTTTTTGCTTTTGCTTTTCCTTTTTAAATTATTAAAGGCTGTAGAAGGTTTTTGGGAAAAGCTGAGACATCCCTCCATGCTAAGACTTTCATTCTGCCAATAATATGTAAATGTGTTTGTGGCTTACTTCCTTCGCCGCAGGAGTAGGTGCTATAGAAAACCTCTGGGCACAGGCAGGCATCCTATTTCCATCTTGACCACTGAGCCATTTGGGCAGTCTGGGGCAATAATAATGAAATAAATAGTCACCATTCATGGAAATGCATAGTAGTAGTCCTGCAGAAGGTAGGCTTACAGCTGCAGAAATCAAGGCTCACAAATACAAAGTGATTGCTTAAAACCAGTGTTTGTGAGGGGCAGAGCCAGAATGGGAACCTAAGCAGTTGATAACTCTCCTTTGGAAACCTTGCTTCCTCAAGACAATCTCTGTGAACTTCTGTTTTCTTCTCCATAAGATGAAGGAGCTAGACAGTGTTTGTGTGGGGATCCCTTATTACCTGGGTTAGAGAAGTATCCCTCTGAGTCAAATCTTATGAACATTTCTCACTTGGGGATTTTTCTGACCAGGTCAGTAGTGTGTACATGCTAATTGCAAATCAACTCATTGGTATCATCTCTGAGTTTTAATTTATGTTAAACTTGCAACATGTCCTAGCACCCATGTGCAGACCCTTCAGCAAAGATGCACTTCCCTGCTTCTTCCTCCCTGGGCTGATTGATGGTGGGACTTTTTACATCCCCTTTGCCACCTTCAAGAGCCCCAGTTTAGGTAGGAGACCCATTTCCAGCCTCATGACTCCTGTATGTGGCTGCCCTTGAACGGAAATCAAAACCCCAGCTCTGGGCATTGAAGCCTGTTTTTTACTCAATAACCTCTCTGTCCACTCCGGCTTTTTTTCTGCCTGAGTTCTGACATCTGGGGATTTCTCTTTCTTATGAGCTCAGCTGGGTGTTTATATGTGGTTCTTGAACTTTTCTGTAGCAACTCCAAATTTGTATGGGGAAAGGGTTCCACCTTGCTGCAGTTTCACATGTGGTTGGAAGGGAACTCTAGCCAAGCAGCTCTCACTGGCAAGGACTACCTGCCTCAAAAGCACAGCTGTGCTTGTGTATGGTATGTGTCCCGTGGCCCCTGAGTGGCAGTCTTCAGCATGGGGCCTACAGTCCAGCACTGTGACAAGCTTCCAGCAATTCTCACATGTACTCTACTGGACAACTGTTAGGCTGCTCCAAGGTTTCCTCAAGCTTTAGTTCTATACCCAGCTCACAATAAGCAAGACCCAGATATGAAAAAAATAACTATACCTACTGTGAAAGTATTGTTAATACTAAATTCTGATTATGGATTGGTAATTCTCCTTATGTAGGTCTAAACTATTTGACAGCTGCAATGCAGTATCCTGTAGAACAGTCAAACCATGTTGTATTATTTACATGTGTTTGCATTACAATTACTTAACTATGAGATCACTTTAAAGTATTTTAATTTCCTCATATGCACATGTAGAAAGATAGATCAATAAAGTAGACTAATTAAATGTTAATGATACATTTTTAAAAGCAGATTTCTGACATGCCTCTGACATGGCTTGAAGCTAATCAGTGTTTTGAGAACATGGGTTGTTGGATTGTCTGTTTACCTGACTTTTATTTCTGTATAGCCTTTTGACTTTGATCAAAAATTGGTAAAATCATCTACATCTGACATATCTGATCTTCTTAACCCACATCCTACAAACCTAACATTAGGTACGGAACCCAGACCATGTGAAATAATCACCTTGTTACTCCCTTTGCATTCACTTCACTTCCCTGTATTACCACTTAAAAATTTTATTACAGTTCTTCTCTCAAGGAGTTCTGCAAGGTTCAATGAGTCACTCAAAGCCAATTGATAAGAGGTGTTGTTATTCTATTGTCAGCTTCTTAGGGGAAGAGCTTTCTTCTTCTTCGTTGTAGCCCCTGCACCTTTTATAATGCTCCGTGGTACACATAGTCACTCAAGAAATGTTTGTTAAAGGAATGAATGAGAATGTATTTAAATTCATACGGAATGCTTTCCCTCAGACACCAAAGAACAAGTTCATCTATTGAAAATCATATTTTACATTGAATAAAAAAAAGAAAAAAAACAATCGAGAGTCTTGGGTTCTGGTCCTGGGCCTCTTGCCGTCTATCAGTTGGCCTGGAGTGACTTGTCAAACCTTGTAGAAGGCTACCTCTATCACTGTAAAATTAAAAATATAGACCAAATGAGCTCTAAATTCTAAGGAGCTCTGGTGGTACGGTGGGTAAGACATTTTACAGCTAATCAGAAGATCAGCAGTTCAAACCCACCAGCTGGCTGCTCTGTAGAAGAAGATGAGGCAGTCTCCTTCCATCATGCTTTACAGCTTTGGAAACCCCATGAGAGTTGCAGTGAGTCGGAATCAACTCAGTGGCAGTGGGTTTGGTTTTGGTTTTTAAATTAATTCTAGTTCTAAAATAGTGAATTTTCTTTTTTTTAAACATCATACCCTCCCACCAGACCCCAAAAGAGGAGGCCCCACGTTGTCCCAGATTTATTTTTTCACCTCTAGTAAGTCTCATGGAAAAGAAGTAATATATGGATGTGACTTCTTTGTGGCTGTTGCAGGCCTTCTGAACAGAGTGAATTAAAGCTTGTGTGCAGTGAATTTGAGAGGTCTGAGCTGAAGAGTGGCATGGATATAAGAAACTGGTGTATACAGGAAAACACTGGGGAGATTTGTAAAACAGATACTGAAATTGGAAGCTTACCTGCTGCACAGGGGGAGGCAGGTATGTAATTACATTGAGTTATGAATGGTGCCTTTGTTGAAGTTTTTGTTTTCTCAAGGAAATACTTTGTGTCAGGAAAAAAAAAAAATGGAGTTTTGATGAGATTATCACTTCATAAGCAACTTTAGCTCACTAAATAAAGTACAGCTAGAAAGCTGTCAGGATGAGACCAGAAAGCTAAGATTCATTTGAGCCTGGTCAAGTCTCTAGTGCCATACCCCTTATTAATTGTTGTCGAGTTAGCTTTAACACATGGTGATCTCTTATGTATAACAGAAAAAAAACATTGCCTGATCCTGAACCATCTTCTTGATCATGGCTATGTTCAAGTCCACTGTTGCTGCCACTATCTCATTGCTCTTACTGACAGCCTCCCTCACCTCCTCCAACTCTCCACTTTACAAACCATGATGTCCTTTTCTGCTGATTAGACTTTCCTGATAAGTCCAAAGTAAGAGAGTTGAAGTCTCATCATCCTCACTTCTAAGGAACATTCCTGTATATTTTAATTCTGTTGGCAGTCCATCGTATAATTGGTATTCTTTGCCAACACCACAAGTCAAATGCGTCAGTTCTTCTGTCTTCCTTTTTCATTGTTTCATTCATTTTGCATGCATATGAGGGGATTGTAAAGATCATGATGACACACCCCTGCTACCCCTAAAATCTGCCATTCCCAGTGATTCTCATGCATATTGCCCCAGGAACAGTGGCTGCTTGCTCTAGATAGGACCTCTTGATGAAAGAGGAATAGGGGAATAGCCAGGTGAGAAGAGGGTCACCTGCACACCTGAGCCAGGTAGTTCCTGCTGAACCAGATATTGGCCTACCTGAAGGATTTTGGTCAGTGTGCCTAGAAGTGGGAGGTAGAGGAGTGCTGAATGGTAGGTCGAGGGTAGGGCAGAGGATAGCAAGATGCAAAAGGACCACTGACAGTAGTGCATGTGGGGTTGGGGAGTGTTGTACACACCCCTCCCTGTAGTTCTTGCACACAATTAACTGGTTTCTTTCTCCATCCTCTCTTTTTAATTTCCTTGACACATATGTTGCTTTTTGGTCTTACTTGAGGTTCTTCCCACCAACACATGAACATTTTTAAACTCTCGTTGGACATCTTAGCAAAAGAGAGAATAAAATTACCCTCAGATCCCCCAGTCTTGTCAAATAACTAGTTGTTGTTTTTTTTTTTTTTTTTTAATTGTGATTTGGGTGAAAGTTTACAGAGCAAGTTTACTTTCCATACAGCAGCTCACGTACACTTCGTTTCATGACATTGACTGCAATTTCCCACAGTGCAACAGCTCCCCTCCCACTTCCTCCCCATAGTTACCTCTTCCCTGTGTCCATCCCTCCATGCAATCCTGCCCCCTGAGCTGTCTCCCTGTGCATAAGCAGCCCTTCTGTCTCCCATGATTGTTTTCTCCAAGGAGTGTATCTACCTCAGGTAAATATTCAACTCATATGCCTGTCTTTTGTTTGTCTGGAAGCTACAGATGTGGGTTCAATTCCAGACCTGAGGGGCAGCTAGGGGCCATAGTCTTAGTGGTTCCATTGGGCTCTATCATACCAGCAAACCTGGTCCCTTTTTTTTTTTTTTTTAAATGATTTTGAGTTTCTTCCACGTTGTTCTCCCACTCTATCCAGGATCTCCTACACAAATCCCCCTGCGAGTGGTTGACAGTGGTACAGAGTAACTTTAGTTGGATAGACGTGTTTGCCATTCCCAGAACTATTTTGAGAATGATGTTATGATTGGTATTGACTGTCTTAACCCCAGACAAGTTTATTTTCCTATCCCATAGGCAGAGTAGGCATAAGCTCACCCTCCATTAACAGTGCCTGCCATTAGTAGAGACAGAAGCTCCTGAAGGTTTACCTTGCCTTCTTTATAATTTTGCCTCTCTCCTTTTATTAGAAATGCATAGAGTTGAAAATTATGTACATGACCCATGCCTTCTCTGCATGGAGTCAGCTCTTCTTTCTTACTCCCTCTAGAGTGTTATTACCGAAAGCCTGAGAAGAAGCGTGTGGAAAAGTTCTGCTCAGATTCTAGCTCAGACTGTGGCAGCTCCTCAGGGAGTGTGCGCGCCAGCCGGGGCAGCTGGGGGAGCTGGAGCAGCACCAGCAGCTCCGATGGGGACAAGAAGCCTGTCGTGGGCCCTCAGCACTTCCTTCCTGCTGGTGAGTTGTGAGCTTCAACCTAGGGGCCCTAGTCCACCCTGCCTTTCTGTGCTCCTTCCTGTACCCAGTACAAGGTTTAGATCTGCCTTCTTGCATCCAGACAGGCTCCTCTTGGTCCCCTCAGGACATGCATTCCCAGGGAACTTGTGGGATAGCAGATTTGAGTACTTTGCTTCAAGCCTCCACTCTTTTCCTTTTTTTTTCCTTTCTGTCCTCCCTCCCTTTATGAAAAATTTAAAAATGTAGGAAGAGTCAAAGAACAGTGTAACAAGAATCTGTATTTTTATCACCTACAATAACAACTCAGTTTTGTCACGTCTACTCTCAGTTTTTGTTTGTTTGTTTTTTTAAGGAATAATGCTTTATGCTCCTATTCTTCTCTCTACCTAAAAGAGTCACTGTTGTGAACTTACATGTTCTTTCAGTCCATTGTTTATTCTTTCACATCCATATACCCATCAACCAAATACCTAATTACTGATTGTTTAATGTAGATGAATACCGTAAAGCACTCTGCATCTTGCTTTTTTCACTCAACATTTTTTTATAGCTCTTTATATATAAAAATGTAGTTCATTCCTTTGAACAATTATTGTCAGTGTAGTAAACTTTTAATGTTCATGAAAAGCAATACAGATAGTTTGATGCAGAAATTCACATGTGTGAGATGCCTTACAGCTTGTCAAGCACACATTCACCCTCTGTGCCCACAGTGGCCATGAGGTGGGTAGGCTGCAGGTGCTTCCATTCCTGTTAAATTGCATGTGTGTGTGTGTAGTTGTTATTAGTTGCTGCTGAGCACTGAGTCTGTTCCAACTCCTGGTGACCCCATGTGTGCAGAATATAATTGCTCCGTAGGGTTTTCAAGGCTGTGACCTTTCAGAAGCAGATGCCAGGTCTGTGTCCCAAGGCACTTCTGGATGGGTTCAAACTACCAACTCGTGTGTGTGTGTGTGTGTGTGTAAAGGAGCCCTGGTGGTGCAACAATTAAGCACTCGGTTGCTAACTGAAAGCTTGGTGGTTCAGACCTGCCTGGTGGCTTTGTGGGAGAAAGACCTGGTAATCTGCTTCTGTAAAGATTACAACCAAGGAAACCTATGGAGCAACTGTCCTATGTCTCATGGGGTCAATATGAGTCAGATCAACTGGACAGCAATCAACAACAATATGTATATGAATACATATGTGTACATGTAGATGTATGGGGGTCTCTGAGTCAGAATCAACTCAATGGCAATGAGTTTTGTATTTATGTGTAAATGTAGGCATAAATATATGCACATATATAGTATATATAAATATTACATTCCTATTGTGTCACATATATATCCTGTCCTAATCCTATTATAATAGGTGTTGCATATATACATATGTGTGTGTGTGTATGTGTGTGTGTGTGTGTGTGTATATATACACACATATATATATATATATATATATATATATATATATGAAGACTTAGGCCCAGACAAGTTACATTCCTGTTTAACACCACAGTACCACATTGTGCTTGGTGGGAGCTCAGGGTTGAGCCCATTTCTTCTGCCTCCAACTTCAGTGTCTCTTTATATACTGGGCAGGGACCAAAGGATTTACTTCAGCAGTCTGTGGCTGTACTCTTTCATTTCTCTCTTACCAGTAGCAACACCTATAAAAAATTTTATCTAAGAGACCAGTGCAACAAATCAAAACCAAACCCACGGCTATCAAGTCGATTCTGACTCATAGTGACCCTTTAGGACAGAGTACATCTGCCCTATAGGGTTTCCAAGGCTATAAATCTTTACAGAAGCAGATTGCCTCATTTCTCTCCCACAGAGTAGCTGGTGAGTTTGAATCACTAACCTTTCGGTTAGCAGCCTAATGCTTTAACCACTACACCACCAGAGCTCCTTACTCTAGTACAATAGAGGCCATAAAAACGTAGGGAAAGTGTCCATGTGTGATTTCAGTTAAGTCTTTGTTTCAACCTTTTTTTTTTCCCATTATTGCTCCTTCCTTCCCACAGAAGCCTTTTTAGACGTTGTTTTCTGAGGACCACCCCCATAAAATTTCAATACCACGTGATAATTTACTGTATATCGGTTTATCATTGTATACCAAAAAACCAAAACAAACCCACTGCCATCGAGTTGATTCAGACTCATAGTGACCCCCATTGGGTTTCCAAGGCAGTAAATATTTATGGAAGTCAATTGCCTGGTCTTCCTTCTGCAGAGTGGCTTGTGGGTTTGAACCATCAACCTTCCAGTTAGCATTAAAATGCCTTAGGCAGTATGCCACCAGAGCTTCTTTTATTAGTGTACATGGTGCTTTATATGTAAAAAGAGTAAGATTTATTTCAACGCCAGGACATAAGTCAGTTTTACCCCCTCCTTGGGGATACTATCACCCTTGCTTAGCAGCTTGGACCGAGATGAAGGGCCCTGAAGGCACATGCTGGTGTTTGATAATGGGATGGTTTTCTTGGCCAGAGGAAGCTTGGGTTTCACAACCTAAGAAAACATAAGAAGCTTAGTGCCATCTCCCATTGAAGACCAGAGGTTTCCCTGATGATGCTCTAATACCAGATTTTTTAAAAAAAAATCTACACTTGCCATAATCTAAGAACAAAAGTACTGCTTTTGCTTTAGAAGAGAGTGATAAAAATTGATGATAAGGCTGTACAGTGGCATTGTATACAGTATTTAAGTTATATTTGAAGGTTATGCCATAAAAGGAGAATATCCTCAATATAATAAAAGGTGTAAAAGATAATACTTCAGTGTTTTTTTTTTTCCCCAAGGTAACAAAAATATTACATGTTCATTGTAGAAAATCTATAAAACTAAACAAAAGTTTGAATAAGAAAAATATAAATCACCTGCAATTAAAGTACCACTATCACCATTTAGATATATTTCATAATAATCTCTTTGATGTATATATGTGTATGCATGTGTGTCATAAATTTAAAAAAAAAAAAACACACATTGGGATCGTACTAGATAGATGTAAAGTCCATGGGTGGTCCAAATGGTCTGCCAGAAGATTGGCAGTTCAAACACAATGAACATGTAAATAATTTTGTTACCTTGGGGGAGCTAAATTTCTTCCATTAGGAAAAAACTCTTCTCTATAATGTGTAGGTTAATAATCCAAAATAAGTAAATTAAATGTTGAGTTTTATTACATTTCCAATGGGAAGATATAAAAGACCTTTTAAAAAGTAAATTACTAATTGTACGCATGCTAGTGTGAAGTGAGAAATAAATCCCTCATTAGGGATTAATGATACTAATAATATGCGTTTTAATACAGACTATGTAGCATTAAATTAAACTTGTAAAAACTTGTGACACTATATTTTCAATGCAGGAGACAGTGTTTCACAAAATGATTTTCCTTCTGAAACTCCCATCTCCTTCAGTCTTTCTCACAATATCTGCAATCCCATGTAAGTTTTTAATTCTTAATTTAACTTTTATAATAGTTTTATGCACTATTTCTTCTGTCAGTGTTGTGTCATCTTTCTTTGTTCTTGGTCTGGCAGGGTGAAAATGAAAACTTTGTTTTTAAGGATGCAGGAAAGTAAAATCTATTCTTCCTAAAAGCTCAGAAAGAGTAATCCTTCCAGATACACTCAGTTTATGTTCAAGTGGCTTGACCCCATACAGTGTCTTTTCAGTGATAAGAGCTGTGTTGGAAAATACCTAATTTCTGAAAGAAGAAATTAGCTATTATATGGATGGGAATAAGCTGCCCTTTGCCAGAAGTTGAGATAAAACTGGGTGTTGATCCAGGACAGAATGGGAGAAAAATGTAGAACATAAACTCAGATTCACGAAAAAGACCAGATTTACTGGTCTGACAGAGACTGGAAGAACACCTGAGACTGTGGCCCTAAAACACCCTTCTGGCCTGGAACTGAAGCCATTCCCAGAGACTACCTTTCAGCCAAAACAATAGACAGGTCCATAAAATAAAAGGTAGCACCCAATAGTCACGTGTTCCTTAGAACAATCAGTTATGTGAGAACAAAAGGACACAGTTTTCCCAAAAGCAAAGATGAGAAGGCAGGAAGGGATAGAAAACCCCGCGGAAAGGAAATGGGAACCCAGGGCAGAAATGTGGAGAGTGCTGACACATTGTGGGGAATGCAACCAATGTCATGGAACAGTCTTTGTACAAACTGTCAAACAGGAAACTAATTTGCTCTGTAAACTTTTACCTAAAGCATAATAAAAAATTTTAAAGAAAAAGAAAGTAAGCTAGCATATACCAGCCAACTACCCTACTGCCATCAAGTCGATTCCGACTCATAGGATGCCCCTGCCTTGGATTTCCAGTGCAGTAAATCTTTACAGAAGTGGATTGCCTCATCTTCCTTCCATGGAGTGGCTGGTGGGTTTGAACTGCCAACCTTCTGTTTAGCAGTCAGATGCCTTAGGCACCACACCATCAGAGCTCCTAAGCTAGCATATAGTGAGTAGTACTTAAGTATTAAAGCAACTATAGTATAATGAGAATACACAAAATCATAAGGCACATCATTGGCTTAGTAAACTACATGTAAATCACTTTACAGATATAAATAAGAGCTATGTAGACAGACATACTAAGATGCATCATCATTTAAGGAATCTGGAGTGTAATAAAAGAGGAAAAGACCATTTTTGTATGCTTCTTCATTCTAATCCTTTTCTACCAAAAAGTACTAGGTATTCTTTGCCTGTGTGGCATATATGTTTCCATAATTTCCAAAAAGGGAAAACCATGTTTGGAAGAGCTACATGAACAACAAAAGAAGAATATGAACTAAAGTGATAAAAAACTAATATATTGCATGTATTTAATTGTGGACAAGTGGAATTATTAAAAAAAAAAAACTATTTTACACTAAAAAAAAACTGAACATTGGTGATCTAGAGCATTTTGCAAGAGTGTTATAGATACTGTGCCATGGTGTTACAACTTATGCATCATCAGATAAGCAAGTCCTTTTTATTGAGTGGGAGAAGAGTTGGTTAAGCAAGAAAGGAGAGAGCTTCAGAGTTAAGATATATAAATGGGTTTCTTCAGTGTCTGCCACATCATCATGAGAAGCCAAGAAGAGGTTGGTGAATTTGTGAAGAACACAGTATATGGTAAAAGCACTCATGAACTGTTTTTGTAAGGGGTAGAAAGTGACTATGGATTGAAAATTGCTGCTAACTGGTGGCAGGCAGATTTTGCCTTAGTTAAATTTTGTTTGTTAAAATACGGCTTTGCTAGATCTTAGATGTTGAATGTTCTGTAACCCCTTTTTGGCTGTGTCCTTTATGTTTCTAATGCCATGTGCCTTGGGAGAAGAATTAATGTAAAAACTCAGACTTGGTTTATACAATTTAACTATTTCCTTACACAGAAAAATACATCCATAGTTCTTCATATTTTCACTTTCCCTCAGAGACGTGAATACTCTCCCACAATATGCGGAAACTCCCTGTCCCAGCCTCTCTGACATGCCTTCAGGTGTTGATGAAGATAAAGGTGAGTTGTACTGCTCTCCTTACAGATATCAGTCATGAGTTCTGCTTTGTATTCCTGGCTGGTGAGCTTGAGAGGAAAGAGTAGATTGGGTGGGGCAGAGCCCTTTACCTAGTACCACCTTCTCAAAGCCTGTCACAAGACTTACATGCATCGTTGAGGCACTTAACCTTTGGGACTGATGTCATCTGGAGTCTTGCTGACCCTTCTGCCTGCAGACTTGGCAGTGGTAGTTAGCTCCCTGCTTGTAGCAGAGCCACAGGGTGTTCTGTGGCCCAGATGCAATCCCAGAGCCCCATTACAGGGGGCTGCCACTGCCTCTGGTTCACCATTCTTAGTCTGAGATGAGAAAGGAAAGTAGAAAGACAATGGCATAGCCCACGAGAACGGAGGCCAGGTGGAACAGTATACCAAGGGTAAAAGCATGTCAACTTCCACGTTCCTGGCTCTCTCCTTCCTTTCCAAGTTCACCTTGTCCTAGATGCCTGTTATTTCTGCCTCAGGTGCTTTGGTGAGCAACCTTGCTTCTCCACTAGGGCTGAGACCCAGAGCTGAGGTCCCTCAGACCTTCTGCCAGGTGGGTGAGGACAATAGCTTAGGAGCACAGAAATAGGAGTGAGTCAGTCCCACTCCTGTAACTCCCTTTGGAATGTTAAGTCTCATTTTTCTTTTCTGTTTCTCCTTCTGTTCTCTCTTTGTCCTTGTCTTTTGTCCCCTATTGTATTCTACTCCTCTTTCTTGCCCAGTTAGGGTCAGGTACTGTGATAGGATAAGCCTGATCTTTATTCTCCATGGCATCATTTAGCCTGGATACATTTATTTGCTTTTGCGCATACACGTTAATGCTGGATTTAAAAACTGCTGAACACTTCAGAGCATTTACTTGGAAAACATAAAGCATCTCTGCTGTTCCTTGGATAAATTTTATACATGCTTTCATATTATCAATGGGAATAAATTATTTGTGAGTTGGATCTGTTTACTAGTCTAGTAAAATACATGTTTTTCAGTAAGAAATTGAGTAAGCAATAATTTGCTAAGGCAAGTTTTGGGGGAGAATTAGATAATATCACCTTTTTTTTTGAGATAATAGAGGAGAAGTACAATGTAATGAATGGTGGGGGAAAATAAGTATGTGAAAACAGATTTCATTTAATGTTTTTTTGTCTCTTTTTGTTGCCAGTTGGAGAAAGTATTATATATGATCTAGTGTTCTAATTCATGTTTGTTTGTTTTTTTTATGTATTTCAAATGCTTTTATTTGCTATATCCCTTTTTTGATTGTTGTCCAGCTTAAATTCCCTGATCATTGTTGTAAATCACTTTCGTGACTCTTTTTGCTGTGTTTACCTAGCTAGACCACAGCCCTGGTTTTACTAAATTTAACTCTCTGTCCACTCTGCTTGTTCCTGTGTAGATAAGTGAAGCTGGAGAACAACATTCCAACAACAAACATGGTGACTGGTCTCTCTGAATTCATAACCCCTAACTTTGCATTATGGAGCCCTGGTGGGGCAGTGGCTAAGTGCTTCATTGCTAACTGGAAGGTTGGTGGTTTGAGCCCACCAGCCAATCCATGAGAGAAAGATGAAGCAGTCTGCTTCTGTAAAGATGTACAGCCTTGGAAACTCTATGGGACAGTTCTACTGTGTCCTGTAGGGTTGCTATGACTCAGAATCAACTAGACGACAAGAATTTTTTTTTCACTTTGCTTGAGTGCCACTGCTGTGTTCCCCTGGCTCCTTTGTTCTCCCACTCTCCTCCTCTAGCCTCACACTTCCACTGCCTCCTGTGACATTGCTTCTCTGAATTGATCTTGCTTCATGTTTTACTGAAAAAGAGAGAAGCAGTTAATGTCCAGAAAGCTTCCTGTGTCCCATCCACCCACCTACTATTGTGCTAGTCTCTGCTGTCCTCTTGTAATCTGTCCAGTTGTCTGTATAGCCTTTCTCTCCAGTAATATTGTTTCAGGAAATTTCCTGTCCCTCCTTCATCATCAGTTTTTCTCTTAATGGATTATTCCCATCCACATACACATAACACGGTACTACTTCTCCTAGTTAAACAAAATCAACCAAAACCCTATTCTTGACTGACGGATTTCTCCAGATTCTCTGCTCCTCTGTTTAAAGGAATTCCTTAGAGTTGTCTGTGCCTGCTGATTCAGATTTCGTTTTTCCCATTCTCCCTGGAACTCATTCTGATCTGGTTTTGAGACCACCACTCCAGTACACAGTGCCTGTCAGAATCCCCTGTGTTTTCCACATCGTTAAATCCCATTGTCAGTTTTCAGTCTTCAATCTCCATGTTAGACATTAGACATTGTGTTCTTGCTGGGAAACCATAGAGGTCCCAGACTAGTTCCTCCTCAACGCCCCACCTCTCATAACATTAGAGTGCTCCAGAATGCAGTTTTTGGTGTTCTTTTCTGTGCGGCCTTCCTTCATGCTCCCATCCAGTTTCAAAGCTTTAAATCTCACCTATACGGCAGTGGAGTACTTTGACAACCCACAAATTTATATCTTCAGCCTGGGCCTCCCTCTTAAACTGCAATATCTTACAGCCAACTGCCAAATTTATATCTTTACTTAATTTCTTACAGGTGTCCCAAACTGAATCCTTAGATTTCTTTAAACCTGCTCCTCTTGCAATCTTCACATTCATTCTTTCTAACTGCTCAGGTCAAAAATTTAAGCATCGTCCTTGCTTTTCTTTCTTGGCCCCATATCCAATCTCTTGTTTTTATTCTGTTAGTCTTCTACCTTCCATGTATATCCACAGTCTGCTCTCTTCTTACCACCTGTTACCATAGTTGCCCTTGCCTGAAACACGTCTGATTTGGTGACGGAAGATGAGCCACTCAGGTCAGAAGGCTTTTAGAATATGACTAGAGAAGAGTAGAGTTGACCTTAATGACATGGAGTAAAGCTTTCGGGACTTCCGTTTGCTGGTGGAGCATGAGTTAAAATGGGAAAAAACAGCTGTGAACATTTGCTAATTAACTGGAACATTGAATGTACAAAAGTATGGATGTAAGAAAATTGGAAGTTGTCAAAAATGAAAAGGAACACAGAGAGATCGATATCCTCGGCATTAGTGAGCTGACATATACTGGTTTCGGCCATTTTGAATTAGACAGTCATATGATCTACTATCCTAGCAATGACAGATTGAAGATAAATGGCATGGCATGGCATGGCATTCATCACCGCAAAGAATGTTTCAAGATCTATCCTGAAGTACAGTGTTGTCAGTGATAGGATAATATCCATATACCTACAAGGAAGGCCTGTTGATACTACTATTACTCAAATTTATCCAGTAACCACTAGAGCCAAAGATGAATAAACTGAAGATTTTTACCAACTTCTGCAGTCTGAAATTGACCAAACATGCAGTCAAGATGTATTGATTATAACTGATGATTGGAATACAAAAGTTGGAAACAACCAGAGGAGGCAGAAGCCCAATTTTCAGAGTTAGTTTTTGAGGAAGCTATTTAATGCTCTAACCAGAAGGCTGGCGGTTCAAACCCACCAGTCACTACTCGGAAGGAAGATGGGGCAATCTACTTCTGTAGTGATACTGCCTTGGAAACCCAAGGAGGGGTCGCTATGAGTCGGGTCCGACTTGACGGCACATAACAACAACAACAACATTTAATGCTCTGGCTATTCTGATGCTCCTATTCTATCTTATGGGAGCTCTTGTGTTGCAAGTGCCTAAGACATTTGACTGCTAACCAGAAGGTTGATGGTTCAAACTTACCATCCACTCTGCGGAAGGAAGATAAGACAATTTACTTCCATAAAGATTTGCCATCTCAGAAACCCAATCGGGGTCGCTGTGAGTCAGAATTGACTTGATGGCAGTGAGTTTGGTTTTCGGTTTTTAGTATTTTAATTCTCAGCAATACCAGGTGGTGTAGTGTGTAGAGCCTAAGGCACTTGACTGCTAACCAGAAGGCTGGTGGTTCAAACCCACCAGCCACTTCTCAGAAGGAAGATTGGGCAATCTACTTCTGTAGAGATACTGCTTCAGAAACCCAAGGAGGGGTTGCTATGAGTTGAATCAACTTGATGGCAGTGGGGTTGGTTTGTTTTGGTAGATAGTGAGAGTGTGACAAGACTACCAAATAACTTGACTCACTATTGAGTCTCCTTTAGTCTAGAAAGTTGTTTTTGTTTTTGTTTTTTAAATGCTATGGATTTTTTTCAGAGGCTGCAGTAGTGTGCCCAGAGTTGGCTGGTTGGGCTAGAACAGCAACATTGCTACTTAAAGATATGTTATCTGAAGTCAGGCACCATTGGTAGTCTGGAGAAGAGGGTTAAAGGTCCACTGTCTTCAGTATGCCAGGACTGGGCAGTAGCAATGACCTGTGTAATGTGACTTCCCCCACCTCAAGACAGCAGGTCAACTTTGGTAAGGAATCACAAGTCTGCCCAGAAGTGGTAGCCTTTGCATCAGAAACATAATGATCTTGTATGATGTCTGTGATGCTGGAAATGTTGTTATGTCCAGTACAGTGATCAATCCAGACAGCACTGGTGGCAGTCTGAGTGCCGCAGACTCAGTCAGCAGCATAATCCCTGCTGGTATTACCAAAGAATGGACCTTTACCAGCCTCTGAGTCACTCAGGACGTTTAATCAGAAGCTACGATTTGTTTTCACACTTCATAGCCTCAAAAAGAAATGTCTCTTGATTTTCCAGTCTGTAGTTTTCCAAGTGAAAGACCAACTATGTAGGCCATTGGCAACAGCCTGGGAATGAGTAAAAATGTAACAAGAGTCATCATGCGGGAGGATTGGCTAGAACAGTCTTGAGTTCTGCCCATAGAGTAGAGTGACCATGTCTGTTCTTAGCTCTGCATTGCTGGCACTGAGTGTGGACAGCTGCAGCAGCCCAGTGGACACTGCTAGGTTTCAGCCTAGCCAAACCATCAGAGAACCAGTTCCAGGCATTTAGTGAGATCTTCAGTGAATTGAGGGTCTCAGTGAAGTAGCAGTTCTGCTTCAGGTAGCAGAGTGGAGGACAAAGTTTCTCCAGAGGGATAGCTGTCACATTTTCACACAAAGCTGATAAATGGTTGGGGTAGAGCCAGCTGCATGAGTATCAGCATATTTGCTTTAATTTCTCTTATCCCCAGGTGTCATGGGGGCAACTTGAACAGGGTAGATACACCCAGATGTGTGCCTAGATTGCATTACAGGAGAGGAACCCTGGGCTTAGGGAACCCAAATCTTTTAGAATGGTTAGTAAGCATGCCCACCGTTTGATCCAAGGGGAGACACTGTACTTTCCAAGCCTTTGCTTAGCACATATTCTTGAAAAGACAGTTCAGAACGAATGCAGTCAGTGCCTCTGCTTGCAAGATGTACAGAAATGGGAGAAACCCATGGAGACTTGTCTCTCAACAGTCAGCTCTGCTCAGAACCTTTCATTGGCTTCCCACTGATTGTTGTTAGGTGCTGTTGCAGTGCTTCCAGCTGACTCACAGTGATCCTGTGTACAACAGAATGAAACACTGCCCAGTCTTGCACCGACCTCACAGTTCTTGGCTGTGCTTGAGCCTGTCATTGCAGCCACTGTGCCAATCCATCTCATCGAGAGTCTCCCCCTTTTTCACTGACTTTCTACTCTACCAGTCATGATATTCTTCTCCAAGGTCTGGTCATTCTAGTAACATGACTAAAGTAAAAGAGACAAAGTCTGGCCATTCTCGCTTCTGAGGAGTGTTCTGGCTGTACTTCTAAGACAGTTTTTTTTTTCCCCCTGGTAGTCCATGGTATTTTCAGTATTCTTTGCCATAATCACAAGTCAAAAGCATCATTTCTTTGGGTTTTCCTTATTTGTTGTCCAGCTTTCACATGCATATGAGGTGATTGAAAATATCATGGCTTGGGTTAGGTGCACCTTAGTCTTCAAACTGACATCTTTGCTCTTCAAAATTTTAAAGACACCTTTTTGCAGCAGATTTGCCCAGTGGAGTACAACTTCTGATTTCTTGACTGCTGCTTCCGTGGGTGTCAATTGTGGTTCCAAGTAAATGCTGAAGTCCCTTCAGTGGCCTGTGAGGGTCTGTACTTTCAGGCCCCTAGTCAGATTTGTGTCCTCAGGTCCTACTACCCTTCTTTTCCCTGCTCTGCTCCTTTCTGGCCACACTGGTGTCCTTGCTGTTCTGAACTTACCAGACACCTTCCCCTTCCAGGGCCTTTGCAGCAGGTTCCCATGGCCTGAAACAGTCATTCATGACACCCTCGTGCCTCACATCCTCTCTCATCTTTCATCAGATGTTACCTCAGTGAGGCCTTCGACTGCCCTTAGTCACCATAGCACTTAACCACCATCTGCCATGCTGCATATACTTTATTTTCTTTGTTGTTGCTTTCTGCTCATTTCAATGTAAAGTTGTTCACTGCTGCATTCTTGGTATCTGTAATAGTGTCGTCTTGCATAAAGTTGCCCTCGGACATTTGTTGAGTGAACTAATCTTATAATTTGGGTCACCAGATAAATTGTTCACCATCTGAAATAAGGGTCAGAGTAGTTTGCTTATTTCAGCATTATATCCTGAAATAACATCCTGAAGGAGGTCAGGGAAGGCAGAATACTTTGGTGTGTGGGGACAACATCAGGGAGTCTTATCTGGGGGGAACAGAACCTGGGTTGGGCCTTGCAGGGAGGGTAGAATGAGGGCTAAGTGGGGCAGGAGGTGTACTGAGGGACCGTGTTCTCTTCTGTAGGTCTTTACCCACCCGGAGACCTGTGGCCCACCCAGCCAGTGTGTCTGACAAGCAGCTTAAACTGCAGTCTCGAGAACAGCGTGCCTTGTGTGCTGCGGGAACCTCCTCCGGTTCATAATAGGTATAGCTTCGCATCTCTCACGTGTGCCTGGCTTAGCCTGAAGGCTTGCGGTTAGAATGTGAGCTCGGGTTGTTAGGTAATCCTTCTGAGAACTGGACCAAGCTTCTTTGCCTCAGTGGACTTCACTCTGTGTTTCTATCTGCCTTTTGGAGTCTCATTGTGGTGTTTTTAGAAAATAACAAACCAGGCATCGAAAGAAATATTAAAGGGAATAAAAGTAATAATACCTGGACACCATGCCGTTACTTTCCTTTTTTAAATTGAAGAGATGATATATTATTATCTCAGAGGCAAATTTGGAAAAAAAAAAAAAAAAGCACTTAAAATGGCCACTCCTAACAGGGTCACGTTTTCCAATGGCATTAATCTTCAACATACTTAAAAATCTAAAAGGTCAAATAGTTCAAGTATAGAAAAATAGTTACACAGTAACAGTCTCTTAAATTCACTATTTGATATTGAATCATTCAGTTAGGGAAACCTGAGAAAATGTTACCATCTAACAGCATTTACTTCTCCACAGTGAGAATCCAGTTCCAATAGTTACCAAAGTCTGAATCATGATGCGTATAATCTTTATAGCTGTGATTTACCTAGATGAATGCTGACCTTGCTTGTGAATGAAAGATGGAAATTTCAATAGCTGAACATTTTTAAAATCCTTCAGGTGTACTATGACACTTAAAGGCAGCCCAGGTGTTCTTCCACAGTGCTGATAAAGCCTGGACTTTGAATTCCATCAAACATGGTTCTAAACATGATAGCTTCTGGCCTGACCCGTTTCTCCTGTAGACTGTATGTCATGAGTGTTCAGTCAATAAGGCTTTGATTTTGTGACTTGAGAAAATACATCTTTTATTTTCCAAAATTGAGGAATTAGCAATGATTAGGTTGCTGGTCAAAGTAGCGTGGAAGTGCATAATGATTTAAAGGTTAGGAAAGAGAACAGACTCTTAAAATGTGATAATTCCCCTGAATCCTACCTATCCCCTTTAAAAGTGGTTTTCCTTTTTTTTTTTTTTTGCATGAAACCTTGACATTTTGTTTCTGAAACTAGACCTCTTGTTTTTCTGTAGCAGTTTCATTGATTGGAACACAACTTGCGAAGGCCAATTCCCCAATGTGTACTGTCCACTGGAGTTGAATGATTACAATGCCTTTCCAGAAGGTAAAAGCTATTTTCACAGTCTTAGTGCCGTCTTTTATTCTCATATTATCAGAGCAGGAAGTGTGTGACCTTAAGCAGTAGCCTGCAAAACAGTGTGCCTTCTGACAGCGAGCCGACTTTGAGAAGGATTTTATAGTATGCTGCGGAATGACATCATATGGATCCAGTTTTGCATGTCTGCCATATAGAAGTTTTCACAACTCTCAAAAAGCCCTCTAAATCTGGGTATCTGGGAGCTTCTGCAAATAACACTGATCCATTTAGCCCTTTAAATTAGATAGAATCATGTTGTTTGGATTCATGTGGCCCTACCATGAGTCGAAATCAGTTCATTGGCAACTACCAACAACATTGTGGATCATCCCTTAAGGTGCCAGGGCTTTTGGCTGTTCTCTCTAGGCAGGCAAATCTCTTGCAATGTAGAAACGTTGACCTCCTTGTTCAGCAGCATGTCTTGACTCTTCTGCCCCTGGGTGGTGCTCTGGAAGGAAGAAAAAGGAGCATGGAGGAGAAGTGGCAGAAAATTGTGGATGCTTGAGCTCAAGTATCTGCAATAATAAATAAGAGCTATGGGATTTGAGGAGGATATCATGCTTCGTAAAGTAGAGGGTCAGCAAAAAGGGGAAAGACCCTCAGTGAGATCACATGGCTGCTATGGTGGACTCAGGCATAGCAGTGATTGTGAGGATGGTGGGGGATCAGGCAGTCCGTTCTGTTGTATACAATAACAACGGAAATTAGATTTCCCCATTAACTGGAATATGTTCCTACCAAGTTCTTTACTTGGTAGGTTGCACATTATATTCTGATTATGAGTTTTCAGCCCGGATGCAAGCTAGAGTTGTCTTTTCAAAGAAGGGATAAGTAGGTGTATTTTAACCCAAACCAAACCCACTGCTGTCAAGTCCATCCCAACTCATAGTAACCCTATAGGACATAGTTACCCTATAGAACTGTCCCATAGGGTTTCACAGCTACAAATCTTTGCAGAAGTAGACTGCCACATCTTTGTACTGTAGAGCGGCTGGTGAGTTCAAACCACCAATCTTTTGGTTAGCAGACCAATGCATTAACCATAGCACCACCAGAGCCCGTGTATTATAGGCACTCTGGTGGCATAGTGCCTAAGGCATTTGACTGCTAACCAGAAGGCTGGCGGTTCAAACCCACCAGCCACTCCTTGGAAGGAGGGCTGGGCAATCTACTACCGTAAAGGTTCCGCCTTGGAAACCCAAAGAGGGGTCGTTATAGGTATTAGAGTTACTGGATTTTGATATATGCATCACTCTGTGCTTACCACAAGGGGGTGCTGTAGTAACTGTCTTCCATAAGATTGTGAGGCTTTGTGTTTGTTGTCTTACTGATTCCTACAAGTGCTTGCTTTCATATTGCTTTTAGTTTCATATTGCTTTTATCAGCCCAGGAGCTATATGTGTGGATGGCTTAGATTGGTGTGATAGGTAACAAAAGAAAATTTTAAGGAATAGTAAAACATCTTGACGATATTAAAATGTGTAGTAGTATTTTAGTTACTTCATGTGTTAGAAAGATTCCTATTAAATTATCAAATATTACAAAGAACTTCCTTGCTGAGGGCTTTCCAGGTGGTATGTCTCTCATTAATAGTTTTAACCTTGAGAATGACAGTGAAATTGTCCTCCTGACCCATATTGAGTATTTTATGTCTGTCGTTAACCTATCAATAGATTAAGGCCTTGCAAGCTTTTTAACATGAAAGTGAAAATTCTCTTCTCTTCGTAAAAATATTTATGTTTGTTGATGTCTCCCATTCTTTGTAGAAAACATGAATTTCCCTAATGGCTTCCCCTGTCCTGCAGAAGTTCAGACGGACTTTATTGATCACAACTCTCAGTCTACCTGGAACACCCCAGCCAACATACCTACTGCTTGGGGACATCCAAGTTTCATCCACTCACCGGTCAGTGTCCACTCGTCCTGCACTGTGAGCCCCTGGGCAGCTCCCAGTTATTCTCATGTTTCTTGAATACTCATCTCAGTTAGTTTTAAAGTTGAATTTGAATCAGCCAAACTCTGCTTTTTTTTAGATCATAGATGCTAGGGCGGGGCCCGCCTTTAAAGGAACCTAACATATAATCAGACATGTATGGGTTTGCAGACTCTGGCATTCTAGCCACCCCTGAATTCGGGGTGGGGGGAAACAACACCCCAGACTACAGCAAGGCATGCTTGTCTGTAGATGAAATCGAGCCAGGAAGCCCTGTGTTTGACTCAGCTGTCATAGGTGACCTTGCTGACCTGTCTGTGATGATAGATGAAATGAAAGTCCAGGGAAGGTCAGTAATTGGGTCATGGCATCTTCTTGTCATCCTAGAGTCTATTCCTTCTACCTTTCATATCCACTCAGTAGTTATATATAGATTAAGAGAATATGACCTGGGGACCCTCCCTTTAGTTGAAAATGAGTGTATCCAGTCAGATCAGGATTTCATAGCCCTCTATTTGAGAAAAGTTGAGTTGAAACAACCCAGATTGTTGAAAATGAGAAAAGTGGAGTTAAAACAAGCCAGATTGTTGAAAATGAGAAAAGTGGAGTTAAAACAAGCCAGATTGTTGAAAAT